TACTTACATCACGGAGCTATGTTTATCCAATGACAATACAACTTATTTCCTATTTGTTATTGGTTTATGTATTCTTTTTTATGTATTCTTTATTCAACTTTAGAAAATCCATTCATATTAACCTATTCGTGAAGATAATTATTTCTATTTTACAACAGTGTGACTTATTCACATACACATATTATTAGTACTATTATTGTTAAATATATATATTTTTGAGTAAATTATTGTCAAACACAATATATACTAATCCTAATCATATGGATAAAAACGGATTTGAATAAGTCAAAATTAAAAGCTTCATAATTAGAAACTCGGTCTCCTCCATCCTCTAATTGCCAATATAGCTTCATTTCATGTTTTACAGTGCATAGTGAACAGGAAACAAACATCAACAAAGCAGAAAACTCATTACAACCCCCAGAGATAGAGAGAGAGAGAGAGAGAGAGAGAGAGAGAGTTTCAATAGCAAATGCATTGCAAAAGAAGGTCCATTGTTGCGGAGGCTTCTTCAACGCCACTCTCAATATAACGTAGGGTATATTCTTAGCTAATCCTTGTATTGAAGCGCGCAAAGGGCTTATTAAACACATATACCCATTTCATTTCAATAAACATAATTTCCCGGATTAATGGATATTTTAAAATATATAAAAATAATTATAAAATATATATTTAGTTAAAGGATATTTAATATATGTTAGTTAAAGGATATAAAAATATTTTAAAATATATATTTACCAACTTGTCCTACCGAATAGTTAGTTAAAGGATATTTTAAAATATATAAAAATAATTCCAAATTATATATAGTACTAATTTTTTAAAATAAAACTTAAAAAATAAAAGAATAACATCAATCGACATTATAAATATAAATTTTCATCTAAATTAAAGATCACATGATAACATTTAAAAATAGTTAGATTATTCTAACCTAGAATAAATTATTTAATTACATGAAAAAAAATATTTTATATAATATAATCAGAGTGAAACAAATATTGATACGATAAACTATAAGAAGGAATGGTGATAGTGGTGAAAATCGTAAGAATGAGAGTAAACAAGGAAGAGAGGTCATCAAAAGTAAGCAAAGATAAGATTGACGTGTAAGGATCTAATAGATATATTATTATTAATCGTAACTTAAGCATCAATAATTTAGATTCAATGAAGTCGATAAAACGGAGAAAAAAAATCGTGCATCTTCTTTAGTATTAGTGTAAACAATTTTCCATAACATATAATAAAAAGGATTTAAGCATTACATATAATAAATGGTGGATTCGAAGTTTACTTCTCCATCCTTTTGATGGATGCAAGTTGTTGTCATTAGCAATCTCTACATCACTACCATCATTTTATCGTTGATCATCTCGATCGGGAATCAACCCAACGAATTCATATGATGAGAAGTTGAAAAGATCAAAGGAAAGGTTACAGGTCCGAGGAAACCTCATGACAACTACAAATATTTGGTTTGTGATCTCTCGTTCTTGCCTTTGTTCCCAAGCAATCGTGAATGACGGTGATCGCGGAACGACGCTGACAGCTCTGTATGATGAAGGTGGTGTACTTCAGCAAACACACTGTGCTCCGCTATGGAGCAGAGGATCATTCATTCACGCACGCAAAGTATAAGAGAGAGAGAGAGAGAGAGAGAGAGAGAGCTGATAAGATGTGGGTGGGGGTGGTCCAGTCCTCCTCCACCGCTGCATGATTGCAGGATGCATGCCCTCCCAAGGTATCTTCTTCTCCCTCCTTCGCAGGGTATGCTGACTCAATCATTGCTCGACGTTGTCATCATATGTCCTGCTTGGGTACCATTCCATGCATGATTGCGTTGAGATCGCCGGTTGTCGCTCTCCGTACTTGCGTATCCACGTAAATATATCATCCATATAATACATCTTTTTTGATCGTATCATATCGAATAAGATCCGTTATACAACATCTTTAGTCTCTCAGCTTTCTATTCGACTCAATGAAAATAATAATTATTATGCCTATACTTACATATGAAATTCTTTCGCACGCAATCATCAAACCTATTTATAACAATTTTTATATTTAATAATATTTAAATATTTTGTGTTGTTTGTGATTCTTATTTTTAATTTTTTTTACATACAATAATAATACATCATCCACATGTTTGTCTTTCTATAATTTTTTAGAAAATAAATGTTAAGAACTAAGTTAACTCTTGAAAATAAATGTACTCGTAATTCCAACTAAAGACGTGACAAAGTGGTTGATCTCTCTTTTCGTAGTTGATAACTTTGGATACGGATAAATTTATATATTTATATTATTAAAGATATAATGAAGATCATATCAACATAAAATTTTGGGTGTCATGGCATTAATCAAAAACTTAAAGTTGATAACAAAGAAATCAAGCTTATAAAAATACATCTACATATATATATATATATATATGTCACTATCACGTTAGAGAATTCCTCAACCAGCTTTGTTATTTAATCACCAAGTGATGATCTAAGGTCAAAATAAATCTAGAGACTTTTTTCATTTGTTTTTCCATGTCCAGCAGATAGGGTGAGAGAGACAGCGTCGCCAATGGTGATGATGATGAGAGTCGCGACACAAGTAGAGAGAGAGAGAGTCATGAGCTAATTGACCGACATGGATGATGATGATAACGATGATGAAGAGAGAGAGAGAGAGAGTCATGAGCTAATTGACAGACATGGATGATGATGATAACGATGATGAAGAGAGAGAGAGAGAGAGAGAGAGAGAGAGGGTCATGTCTTCTCCGAGTGCTGCTTGAGCGCAGCATCGCCCATGATTTCTCGTCGCGTGTGCCCCGATCGACCACACAAGACACGGACAGGTGAGCGAGACGACGAGGGTGAGAGATTGTGATCGCCAAGTCGAGACCCCACGCCCTTTCATGCACACACAGAAGATGACATCTTAAGCATTGAAGGAGGGGCACGGACAGTGTTCCAGAGGTGTCTTTGGAGAAGCAAGTAATCATTGCAAGGACGACCTCCACCGCCCCCCACCTCCCCTCCCCCCCCCTTGCTAGCTGATCGAAAGCTACTGCTTGCTTGTTCGCATGTCGAAGGAGAACCGGAGAGCTGCTTTCCTGATCTGAACCACCCATCACAGAATGTACGGCCACGATCATCTGGGGCGTTCATTTCCTACCTTGATCTACACTTGGTTATATATATATATATATATATATATATATATATATATATATATATATATATATATATATATAATTATTATTATTATTAGACGTTATGGATCAGTCCAGAAATATTATAATTATTAATATACTTTATTAGCGAAGCAAGACGTAAAGACGAGGTAAACCAGTGGGACCCACCAGGTCAAACTAGGAATCCTAGGCGATTCGCACACATGTCAGCCTCGTCCTCTTGATGCGTGCTCGTTGCACGTTGAATCCCGACGTGGCCGAGTCGACCGAGCTGTAGCCACCCAATCGAATCACTCTCAGCTACAATGAGAGAGAGAGAGAGAGAGAGAGATATGATTGAATTATTGGGCACTAATCTTACTTGAATAGTCAATTTTGTCCATCAATAGATGTTGGATTTCTAAACTATGACAATGATCATAATTATCTTGTCTTCACCCTCATCTATGAAATTCAAATCCAATATGAAATTTGATTCGATCTCATTCGTCCTTCTAATCATCGAAGAACAATAAAATTTGATTAATTGTTGGAGAGTCTTGAGGATAAGAAATTTCTATATTTATGCATTTCGTATCTCATATTTTAAAGGATCATGTATTCTATTTTAGCTTATTCTAGCAAAGGAAGGATTGTATGGATATAACAAAACTCCAAAGACAATTTTAATCTATCGTAAATGATAAGAAGTTTGAGTCTTCAAATAAATATAAAAACATACTTAAAAAGTTTGCTTCGTGTCGTGTTGATTTTGTATCCATCGTTAGCTACAATACATTAAGTAACTTCATAAGAGAATATTTTCTCTTGATGTTATACTACCAACATGATATGTTCACTCGTTGTTTAGTCATCTTTGATTTTGAGATGGTCTACGAATTGATACTTTAATATTAATTGAACTCGACGTGTTAAAATCTCGACTAATAAAAATTAATGATGATTCTATATCTTTTCTTGCTCGATGCATTAAATATGTATAGAATGATAAAAAAAATATTACACATCCGATATTTGGACTTGTTGATAAACCTGCTTAGGTAGAACGAGGTCATGAGGAAGGATATAAGCATGAATGAACGAGATGGTAAGTGCTTGATGGCTTGACGTAAGAACAAGAGGCTATTGAAAAAGGAAGAGTTGTCATTCACTATGTGAATGCATTCTCTCCTCTCCATTCCATTCCATTCAATGGAATTGGTCATAACAGGAGTTGTAGATTGAGAAAACTAATCGATGCTGATTGATAGAAGAGAGAAAAAAACAGGAAGATGATTTGATGTCGTTGATGGAACGACAAGGACAGTGAGGGCCACATTAACTGTTCGACGGAGAAAGGAAGACGTAATCAAAAGAAAAGCCACTATTTGACTTACAATTGTGCATTCAGATTAGATGAGACTTATGGATCCACTTATCTTAAAAAAGAATTATCAATGTTTTCTAGCATTATTGGTATCATGTCATCACCTTATCGTAATTAATTTATTTTTTACTATATTATAATGCTTTATTTGAAAATATTATAATATAATATGTTTACAATATAATTTTTTTAATATATATATATATATATATATATATATATATATATATATATATATATATATATATATATATATATATATTTGTCGTCGCCGTCGGAGTTGCTTTTTCTCGTGTTGCGGAAGTCGTCCTGTGGATTGGCTTCTGCGAGTCACGTGTGCTTTTGCTGACCGTCGTGACGTGTCGGTCAAACTTGGATTAGCCTCCTCGCTCTATAAGATCACCTCAGCCGAGCGCTTGCTCGGTCCTCGGGTCTCTCCTTTCTCTGTATTGTGCGTGGAGAAGCGAGATGGAGCTGGGACTGAGGATGGGGGAGGCGCCTGCGCGGCGGCCTTTAAGGGCAGCGAAGGCGGCGCCACTGAAGGGGTTAAGCCGGTTGGATTTGGTGCTTGGGATTGGTCGGAGCGAAGAGGGTGAGGAGGAGAAGGGAAGAGAGGAAGAAGTGGAGACGGAGGAGAAAGAGGAGGGAGAGGAAAAGGGCTCTGGGGAGCCACCCCCGCAGCTCAACCTCGAGGCCCTCTTGCCTGCCCCACCGCAGCGGTCTTCTCCTGCCCTGCTCCGGCGCCGATGGGCGACTGAGACCAGTAAGAACCTGTCTTTTATGTGTATTGAACAAGCCGGACGTGAAATTTGAATTTTGTAAGCATTTTATGAGCTAAATGTAAGTAATTGAGAACAAAAAATGATTTTTTTTCTCCGTTCTTCTCATAAACTGAACTCACCGGTCTTCTTTTTCTTTTGTAGCCAAGAAGAAGGAATATGTTTAGATTTTCTTTTATGATCGATATATAGATATGGAATTTGATCCTTTGAGGTTGTTATTTTCCAGTGTTAAGAATGCAGCGTCTTTGTAAGAGGAATCTGCAGAAAAAGTCATCTCGTATCATTTTTAGGAGCTTTTACAGCAGGGGTAGTGATGGAGACGGATTCATGTTCTTTTAGGGAATTCCGAAGCTTCTATGCGGGGGTTGGACGTGAACCGGTCGCCGTCGGCGGAGGAACGGGCGTCGTCCTCGTCGTCACCGAACAGCACCGTCTCCTGCCCTCAGATGGATTTCTCCGCCCAGCGAGGCGGCGTCCAGAAGGGCGGAGGCGGCGGGGTAGGAGCGGCGGCGGCGGCGGCGGTGGGGAGGGCGTCGTCGCGGGTGAGCGACGAAGAGGAGAACGGGTTGGTGAGGAAGAAGCTCCGGCTTTCCAAGGAGCAGTCCGACTCTCTGGAAGAGAGCTTCAAGGAGCACAGCACTCTCAACCCGGTAAGCGATCCAACACCCGTGAACATAAATCCTGTAGCCCAAACGAGAAGGATAACACCATTAAATCCCTAAAAGCATCAAAAACCAGAGTAAAAATCAAAGCTTTTCGTTTAGTCCGTCGATCTTTATATATTCTTCGGCGCTGTTCTCGATTTCAGAAGCAGAAACTTGCTTTGTCCGAGCAGCTCAACCTGCGACCTCGACAAGTCGAGGTCTGGTTTCAGAACAGAAGAGCCAGGTATTCCTCTTCTTTTGCCTCTCCTTTCTCATTCAAATCTTCTACTTATGTGTTCGAAAGCCACGAGAAATCCTATCATTCGTTTCAATCTCCATGCTTCATTCCTTCATCTACAATAATAGGACGAAGCTGAAGCAGACGGAAGTGCACTGTGAGTACCTGAACCGCTGCTGCCAGACGCTGATGGAAGAGAACCGCCGTCTCCAAAAGAAGGTAGCGGAGCTGAGGGCCCTCCAGACCTCTTGCCACGACTTCTCCATGCACCTCCCAGCGACCACCCTCTCCATGTGCCCTTCCTGCGAGCGCGTCGCTCCCACCCCCACATCCAACTCCGCCTCTGCGGCCGCAGCTTCAGACCACCAGCCGAACTCCTTTTCTGCCCTGATCCCGAAGCCTCGCCCATCCTCCCTGGCCGTGCAGCCTGCTCCTGCGGCGTCTCGCCAGTCGTCGCCGGCCTCCTGAACGCTGGTGGCGGAACCACCGAGCAGTGGCTGTATCTCGCCAAAAAATCATTGTAAATTCTCATAACGTGAAGGGCTTTCTTGTCATTTGACTTTTTTTTTTTTTCTTTTTGGGAGCTTGTGGAGATTTTATGACTCGTTTTCTTCAAATTTTTAGAGGGAGAAAAGAAATAAAAATGCTTCTTCTAATTAGACACAGTTGTATGGCAATTGAAGTATTTATTTCCTCTGAAAACATTTGTTATTGATACAATTTATCTGAATTTATTTTTCTGTATTTCTTTTTGTTGTTTGTAATGACGCAAATTACATGACGAATATAATATTTTTAAGATTTATTATTTATATTATATATTTACCGGAAGCTTACACGTGCGGCAGCTACGTGCATATTTTTATTGGCATCAAATTAAAGCACAGGTTTACAAAATATTAATTACTTCCAATCCCTGATTAGGGTTTAATTGTGATGATTATGTAATATATATATATATTCAAAATTATTATTTTTATATCAAACAAATTATTTTTACCAATAAATTATATTTATTAAATATAATTATATCCGAATTATTTTTTAATGTAAAAAATATTTTCATTAATAAAATATTTTTATTAAATATAGAGTACACATCCTAATGAGCTCATAATTCTAAGAAAAAACTCAATATATATTTTATATTTATATAAATATTTTTAAATAAACATTAAGAAAGAAGGATAGATACAATATTGGGACTCATGATCTTATAATATAATTTTTTATTTATATATACTTTAATATTGATAATCCATATGAATATAAATATCTTCTATCAGTCTTTTGGATTTGAAGATCTTAAATTCTTCATTTTCATGGCTTAAATCCAATATATCTAATTGAACTTAATTGAGCCCGTGATTATCTAGAAAAAAAATTAGGACTCATCATGATTCATAGTGTCATGATCCGGGCCTGATGGGCTAACTAGCTTATCAACTTCGTTCGGTCAGTCCGACATCGAAAGTAGACAAGATTAAGATTGACTTATAAGGGTCTGATGAGTATATTAGTATCAGCTTAAGTATTTTAGTAAGTGGTTTAAACCAAACGAAATTGATATGCTAGTTAGCCCATCAGGCTCGGATCATGACATTTGGTATCAGAGTCGACCTAGCATTTGGGTATAGTGAGGGGGCTCGATTGTAATACCCTTGATTAGTCTTGTATCGAAAGTGGACAAGATTAAGATTTGATTATAAGAGTCTGATTATACTATTGATAGACTAATTAGCCCAAGTCATGACACATGGAGCACTTAATATTTAAAATATATTTCTCTGATTTAAAAATTCATTATTTTTTCTTTTCTTTGGGTATTGGATTGTGCTTAATCTATCTACGAATCTTAGTAGAAAATGAAAAAAAAAAAAAATGTTCATATGATTTGAGAAAAATGAAAAAAGTCAATATGAACAGTAAAAAAGCCAGACTATCAGAGATTACTTGTCCAAATGTGTTAGCTCAGCAGGTAGTAAAATGATTTCTGTGCCTAAATGCACTAAAAAAAGACTTAAAGTAAAAAAGAAAGACCAGTCAAATAAATTCAGATAATAAATTCTTGATTTCTAAATGCACAGATTGACATTATATTCTACATGACTAAAAGGTGGCCAAAAAAGAAATGTGTAGTAGAGACGAGGAAGATCATACTAATGCAGCTTGCTGTCTCTCTCTTCTGCTGCACACAACTCATTGTTCCTAAACTAACTTCTTCTTCCAGCAACCCATATTTTTCCCTCTGTAACTACAAACTCCACTTTTTGATCCCCTCTTTGGTTTGATTGATCTCCTTCCCAAGTTTGCTTCTATTTGTCATAGCAGTTGATTATGCTGTTTGATGATCAGCTGTGCATAGAGTAACTCATTCCATGAATCCGGCACTCCAGGGAGGCACCAGTGGCTGCAATCCTGGTATTTCTCTGGATCTCTCATCTCCTCCTCCGTCATATTCTGCGTACGGTAAATGGAAGGGTGAGCATCCTTCCTGTAATCTGTCATTCTTGTAATGTTCAGATACGAGACAGGAGTCTTCATTCCCTTGATCACAGATTCCAGCAGAGTCATCATTGATGGATATGTTGTGAGGTATTCATCGTTCTGGATGGGTTCCGTCTCTTGGTCGCATTGCCCGCCTGAATTCCACTGCCCCCCGCTTCAATAAAACAGAGGATTAGTTCAATGGAAATGGAGTATTCGATTCAGATGAGGAGCTGCACCAAGTACCTGAAATGGGAGTTGGAATAGCCCCTGAAGACGACCAGGGATTTCTCGCGGTTCACATTGGTATCCACCCACTTTGCCCACGTACTCAGAGCTTTCCGCAATGCTTCCTCCACATTCAGTTCACTGTAGATGTGATTGCCTTCTTGGTAGTAGTCTTTCCTGTTCCCAAACGTCAGGTTTCGGTTAACTGTAAGAAGAAGCCATGAAAAGGATGCTAGATTTGGTGGTGTCACTGCAGGTTACCCTTTGGCGGTCTTCTCATGAGTCCACCAATGCCCTGTGTTGAAGATGATGACATCTGCATCTTTGTACTTGGAAGATGATCGCTCGACAATGTCGAGCCGAAGCGTCTCCCTTTTCTCCCCGTTCGTTATTGGCATCTCCCACTCCTGAACCAGAAATGGCGAGCGGAAGAACTCCACGGAGCAGTTGTAGTCCTAAAGAGACAAATAGATCTCCACCGTGATCACCGTAAGGATCGTGAAGAACAAGGAGAGCCATTAATTGGGAAGAGAAAACAACCTCGAAGACGAAGGAATAGGAGCCCTCTGTTCTGAATTCTTCCCTACCGGATGCCTCAAAAACCTTTCTTTTATCTTTGACAGAGTTCCGGAGGGCGCAGACCAAAGATTCCCACATGTTTCTGTTCAATGAATCGCCAACATATACCAGCCGCTTTCCTCTCAATCTCTCCAACATATCAGTCGCATTCAACCTGATCCACAATACGAGAGAATGGATTCACGGAAGTTGACATGAAGGAATCAAGCTCATCAAAATCTCAAATTTTCAGCTCTTTTTCACCTCGGAATTTGACAGTCACTGGGTTGCCAGCGGAGTTTCTGATAAGAGCGATCAGGCCTGCCATTATGGTAACAGTCGAAAGGTTCATCGATGTGAGGGCATGTTCCCTCAGGGTAGAGCGGGTAGGAGTCGTCCTTCACCCACCTTCCTTCAAAGATATCGCAACCTTTCATAGCACTGATCCATTCAGCCTCTGCCGAGCTCGAAACCCCCTTCTTCTCAACCTTCGGACGGGCAGTTCTGGTACGATTTCGAGTTGAGGCCGGTCCACTGCTGAAATGGTTCTTCGCTGCATCTCCATCTACTCGATGTCCTTTTCGAGCGAATCCTCTTCCCGTCTGATTCTCCGCTGGTAAATCTCCATTTGCGCCAGCAGCATCTCCAGTTGTGGTTTCATTTGTAGTTGCGAGGACTGTATCATTCAGAGAAGCGCCCCCAATCTTCGTCGGATTTGGTGCCGTCGAATCACCACCGGTTTTCGGAGGACCAACTCCAGACGTAGGCTCTTTCATGGGAGGGACTCCACTCCCTGCCTGTTTCTTCGCTGGCAAGACCGAGCCTTTCCCGGAACCAACTCCATCCTTCCCCTGATCATTCGTCGAAATCCCGTTTCCGCCATTCGACGTGTGATTCTTTGTCGAATCACCACCTTCCCGCCACCCAATTTCTCCAACCGTCTGATTCATCTTGGTCACATCACTTCCCCGCGACCGAATCCTCATTCGTGGCCGGTTCTTCGCGTCCAAGCTGCCACCTTTGTTTGCCCTGGTGCCATCCTCCGGGTTGTTCTTCCTCCCCGAAACTCCATCGTCACTCATGTTTTCCGATAAAGGCGCCGCCTTTCTTGGCGACGGCGACGAAGAGGAATTATGAAACACGTGAGAGAAAAGGGACGACAACGGAGATCGGTAGGTGGCGGTGGAGATAGAGGCGGAGGACAAGGGGTTGTTAAACCGACGGGCGGCCTTCGCCCGGGGGTAGAAAGCTAGGTAAGCAGTACAAGCAACAAAGGCGAAAACGAAGGCGAAAAGGCAGACCTTCGTCCTCCGGGTCCTGAGCAGGGGGGGGAGGACCATTAAATCGGAGACAACGTTCAAGCTCTGTTTCGTGGCTTCCTTCATGGCGCAGAAGACGAGGGCAAGCGAAGGCGACGACGATTAAAAGAAGGAAACCGTGATCCTTATAGTCCTTCAGGCCTCTTTCTAGCTTTAGGCAATGGAGCGAGGAGGGAGGGGAAATGGAAGAGCGGCCCTGTTGCTATAAGCGACAGGGCAACGAAGGGAGAGAGGGAACGGAGGAGACAGTCCGCGGACTGGTGTTTATTCCTATTTAAGGAGTTTTAAGATTGGCCCTCGATATTATTATTCTGCCATTCTCTATTTTATCTTTCTTTATATCTCAATTAATTATTCCAGAATTGAAACCAAATCTTTCGATAGTATTATTGAGATTAATAAAAAAAGGAAAAAAAACCATTTTATATTCTGACCGAACGAAAAAGAAGAAAGAGAAAAGGATAAAAATTGAGTGAGGTACGACTTGTACTCTCCGTACAGGTGTTCCTCCGTATACTAAAGTATATACCTATGTATATACGGATCGGAAGGTATTCAAATACGGCCAAAAACCGAGGATGATTAGAACCATACGTATTGGGTTCGATCTGATACGTTTCTTGATTCTAAATCGATTGCAGCAATCAGCTGGTCCGCTAGTATAAAAAAATTTAAAAATTTAAAAACTAAAATGTATAATCGTAAGTTCACAAATAACTACTCATGTCGAACGTTTTGTTAAATCTTTACAAGTTTTATGTCTGAACTTATGAATCTAATTAGCATCAAATACTATCTCAAACTCCCATGGAGTTGTGTACCACTTGGATAGTATTATCTATAGTACTTCGTACTCGTAACATATAGAAAATAAACCATGACACGTGAAAATTAGATCATTCTAGGATAGTTTTATCCATTCTGATGAACGATCACTCTATAACCTTGTAAATTATTTATGTTTATAAATTTCGAATAAAAATATATAAAAATAATATAAAATACGATGTCATAAGTAAAATAAAAAGAAATAATTTATTGACAAAGGTGTGATAGGTAAACACTCAATTCAATGTTGTAGATGAACTTATTATGTATCTATGAGTACGAAAAGCTTTCAAGTTCTTTGAAATAATTTGATTATATTATATTATAAGAATTTGATATATATTTTTATTGCTTGATATTATTTTTTAATAATTATTAACAAATAATATCTCTATTTGTTCAACGTGTGAAGGAGAAAAGAATAAATCCCTTACTATTATTCCCCATTTATAATTCCAGATATTTTGGTGAGGTGGCGACCTTTGGGCCCCACTTTCTCCTCCTCCTCTGTTTCTTTGCCCAGTCGATAAGCGTCCCCAAATCCACTACGGAGATGAGAGCACAGTGGCCGCCATTTCTCTTCTCTATCCATTCACAGACTCCGACGAAGACCATTTCATCTTGATCATATCCTCGCAGATGCTTCTGCTCGACCTCTTCTGCAATCCATCATCGTAAAGGCGGCGTCTTCTCCCACCGGAATCCTAAAGATGGCAGCTTTGGGTCCCAGTTCCTGCCTCCTGTACCGAGAGCTCTGCCACCGGGAGCAGGGAATCCACCCGTTCAACGGTGGAGGGTGCTCCTTGGTGTCGGTCGGCGGCGGAGGTCTCTATTCCTGGCAACCGGGGGGTAGTAGGAAGAGGATGTGGGGAGGGGAGGTAAAGATGCGAGGTTTTTGGCAGAACGTGTCGAGGCCGACGTCCATTGAGATGGAAGCCATCAACGGGATGGAGGATCTCGATCGGATACTTGCCCTTTCCAAGGAGCTTTCTCAAGCGATAGTCATCGACTGGTTAGTGATGAATTCTCACTCTTCACATTGTAGCTCACTTGATTCTGCTCATGGCGGCTAGGGTTGTCGAACAAGCCAAAAAGTTCGTCACTTGGTTTGAAATTTAGGTTGCTACGTGTTCGATGGTGTGGTCATTTTCCGATCGTTTAGGCTTTGATTTCAGCTAATGGATATCTGACATCAATCTACCGACATCAGTCTGTATATCTGGATTTTAATTTACTGTTCAATGAGATTAATGCTATTATGATATTAATCAATCAATTCATTGCACTTCATTTTTCTTCCTGAGACACTTTAGCTGTCTAACACACACAAAAAAAATTTCAGTTCGTTCCTTTCTTTAATATGCAATTGTAATGTTTATTTGTCATCTTCTAAATTTTGTTTAAGTTTTAAAGAATCATTTTATGTTGCATTTACCGCTGCTAAACCTGTCGATAGGATCCTAGCTCTGGAGCATTAGCTAGATGTTTTTGTTTTTTCAAGCAATTAATTTACTCAAATTCATGACATTTTAATAATTCAAGCATTGGGATACAGTTTCAAGCTTTTGGATAGTAGTGTCTTCATATATAATAATGAAATTTCTACAGACAATTCTTCAAACTAGGGTTAGATAATCAATCAGAGAACAAAACTGATGTTTGGTGTCTTCCAAGAGAGTAAAGGACAACAAGGATGAAATAAAAATAAGTACAAAAGCAGAACATAATTTGTCAGGAAGTGTATGTCATTGAACTCACCTCCATAGTCAACTGCAGCATGGTCAAACTCAATAGGCATAGAAAACAATATGCGGTATGCTTTGATTTCCAGTACATTAGTTCAGAATAAAATGAGTCGATGACAAGTCATTCCATTTTCAAGTTGTGATAAGAAAAAATAGAATGTAATTTGTATATAACTATAAACAATAACTCTTTAAATCATACCTTGGAAGGCTTTTAGTTGACTTGGTATAACATTATTCTTTAAACAAGCCATTTCGGTAGTTTGAGCTCAACTTGGAACTATATTACCTAGGCAAGTTTGTATTAATAAAAGATGAGCCGAGTTTGTTGTAGACCTAGGTCATTATTGCTTCGCTCATATTCATATGAAACTGCAGCTAAAATAATCCAAGTTCTTCAACTTGACTCCCATTCAGGCTTGTTAGCTTACTGGTTATCATCAACCGGTTATTTACTAGAAACATACATATAAAAATATGCTTTCTGAAGCAGTGTAGAGCTGCATGATCCTAAGTATTGGATTTACAACCATCCAAAGAGTTATCAAATATGCTCTTGAACTTCCATAACTACCTAAAGTTAAGTCTGGGTGTGCGCCCTGAAAATGAGGTTTCGAAAAGAATAGATTGTTAACCAGCTTGTTCATGTAATATGTGCTATGTTAAAGAGAAGGCTTGTTAAGCTAAAAGAAAGAGATAGAGTGAAAGATTCAGAATATTATGTTTCTCCATGTTTTATTTATGCAGAATTATGATTTCAGATGAATTGGTTCTGTAACTATTACATTGGTTTTAGTGGCTTGACACTACCGTAATTGCTGTTTGAACCAGGATGGCAGCTTGGTGTCGGAAATGCATTTATCTGAAGCCCAAGCTTGAAAAGCTTGCTGCAGAATACCATCCGAGGTAAACAAATATATCTACCTCGCCTACCTTATCTCTAGTAGAATCAGGTGCAGAATAAAGAACATGCAACACATCTCAACTTGTTATGATTACTGCTATTTATTCGTTGCTGGCTGTTGCACATCAACATCTAGCTAACAGGAAGCCGAAATAAGTGTTTTCTTTCAATTATAGTGCACGTGTGAAACAAGCAGCACCTGCTGTTGTATACATAGATCAACCATTATTAAGCTTGCTGTTGTACTTATTTTAACAATCTTGATTTCAAAAAATTTGGAGCAAGACTCTCAATCTCCCGCCTTTCTGATACCATGAATGTTTTGCCAATGATAACAAAAGCTATAGACACTGATTTTCTACATTTAAGCAAAAGGAAAAGTTGATATAAGAAGTTCCAGCGTTCAAATGCTATCATGTTTAGTCATTTAATGTCAACTTTTATCATTTGTAGGGTTAAGTTCTATTTCGTGGATGTTAACAAGGTCCCTCAAGCATTGGTTAAGCGTGGTAACATCTCGGTGAGTTCATTATCGACACTTGTATCGACTCTTATACAAGTGTCGATCAAGTTACATGTTGTATATTTTGCGGAAGTTATAACATATTTCTTCTGTGTATCTATATGGATGGAACTGATGTTTCTTGGGTTCTTTTATTCAGAAAATGCCGACTATTCAGGTGAGTGAAGCTCTTCCTTGTTCTTTGTTCGACTCTGGTTGTTGCATTTAAATAGCTAATGGGATATGAGTGGACGATGCAGCTATGGAAGGATGGAGAATGGAAAGCTGAGGTAATTGGGGGACACAAAGCATGGCTTGTCATGGATGAGGTCCGGGAAATGATCCAAAAACATTTGTGATGTCTAGTAGCTCTTCTCAGCCTCTTTGTTACATATATATACATATGTATGACCAGAACTCTCCTGTACTCTTCACTCATGATGTTGATAAGTGTGTCTATCTTATATCAAAAGTAACTTTTGAGTACTCTATTTCAAGTCATGACCTATGTGTTATTCAAAATTGAATCATACGAGGTTAGCACATTCACCATTTAATATCTTTTAGTCATCAAAGTTTAGAACATTATCAGCCTCACTCTTCTAACTTTTCCATTTCTCTTATGCGTAGGTTTAGAAAATGAAGTCTTATTGGGTGCATGTGTGCCACAAATAAGATCACAGAATCGAGTCATCGAAAGTTTTGATATGTAAACTTTTGAAATTCTATGTCTATTATTTGAAAAGAATTTGATCCTTGGAAAACATTATCAACAATGTATAGTTTTAAAGAGTAAAAGAATATAAGTGTTGGGGAAAGAGAATAACTCGAAACAAAAGAAATCACAGAGATTAATAATTAAAACATATTAAAGAAATTAATGTAAGAGTTATGTTTTTTGACACTCTCTATCTACATCCATAGAAAAAATCAAAATTTTCATTATTAAAATCAATTGCATCCCCACTCGAACCCCCCATTGTACATTATATATCATATAAACCTAAAAAGAATTATATATTTTTTTATCTCGCTCTCTCTAGAAATACTAGACTGTAACTTCCCTAAACACTTAACTTAGAAGCACAAAAAATATTATTCAGATTTTGTTCTCACCCATCAAAACCTAAAAATACATAGAATACTTATAGAATAATCAAATTCTTTTTTTTTTTTTATGACTTCTGATTCCTTGACCTCTAAAGCCACTTGCCAATTCTCTTAGGGTTCCTTCTCTTCCAAAAATCTCAAAATACTTATTTATCATAAGACTTCTATGCATAAAAGGGCATGAAAGAGCGTTCTCCTATTCATGGAAGAACATTCTTTGATGCTTCCTAACCAAATACAACAGCAACAAGAATTACCAGAACACAGGTCTTCTCATATTAATAATGATGCAGCCTATAAGACGATAGTAACCAACGGCAGCACAATATATAATTCATTATCAAACACAAGCTTCACAACCTACGATATCGAACCTCCATTTTCCTACACAAAATAACCACATTTCTCGAAGAAAAGTTTGAGTTGATCTAGAGTGAAGACACGCAAGCTTTCCTCAATGGAGTAAGGACAATGACAACATTGAAAAACCACTTACTTTTGTAGCTTTCAGCAAAGTAAAACCTTGATCCATCCTACATTACTTGGAGACACTTGAGTTGTCCCTCGAAGGTCGACTGATTAGAGCCCTAAGATTGGAGGTTCTCGGCCTTGTCCTTGGCTTAACCACACCTGCTTGTGCCTGGAATGTTCTATAGGAGGCCTTTACACAATAAGAAAGTTCAATTGACAAAAAAAGAAATGACAATTCATAAGAATCGGTATTGGTATAAATGTCAAATTTAAAAGGAATGACAAAAAAGGAATGTACAAGCTAAGTTTTGACAAGACAAATGAACTATAGATCATTGTTTTCAGCTCTTGTAGGTGTTCTTAAGAGCCTGATTTGATTACCTGTTCACGGCCGAGAGCTTACACAGGGGAGAAACCACTTGAAATTTAAGACATAGCGATCCTTGCTGTCTCATTATGAAACATACCTGCATCCTGCACTCAGAAGTAAAAGAAGTCAGGAACACCATAACAGTTAATAAGATGCATGAAACTATGATGCAAATATCAAACCCTGGACCTTTATATGCATGCATTGTTTCTTCTTTCCTGTATAACATTCATAATTAGCATAATTTCTTAAGCTTATTACATATCCAAGCACGACAAGACCATAATAAGTATTGACATCCACAGCATTCAGAATATGCATATAAGAGCTTTTGGCACATGCAAGTTGAATCAATTCAACGTAGCACTAATTTGATTGTTACAAATTAAAACCCTAAAGGCATGACATTTGGTTCTTTACACCACTCCACAGGATGTGACCAGGGGAGTTTCAGCCCGAATTTGGTTTCACTTTCCTTCTTCTCTAAACAACTTTGCATATACAGACTAATTCTTGATCCCAGCCAGCTTGGGGCTCAGTTTATCATCCTCTCTTGATCAACACTCCTGCTGCTCATCTCCGCACATCCACTGTCCGTAGTCCTTGATTGGTTATCCCTTTTTCTTCATCTCCTTTCACCCTCTTCTCAAGTACAACATATATGTCCTCACCTACGGGCCCTACATGAGGATTTCAAGACTATTGCAATATAAAGTCCAGTACCTGAACCAAACAATGAGTGAACTTTTGATAAGTTTGCCAAAACATTATATATATATATATATATATATATATATATATATATGGTCTCCTCATGTCAGGTATGCAACAACTACATAAGAAAGAGAGTTTTTAGGGAAGAACTTTGGGACACAACATTAACAATATAAATGCACAAATACATATATCAACCTTTTTTCCTTCTTCACCAGCACTAACCAATGTAGTTATCAAAACCAGAGCGAACCAGCCGGAGGTCTAAATAAGAAAAAACACTGAGAACACAGACCCTTGGTCAGTCCAGTTTGGCTGCTGGATCAGAAGTGCCAAAGAACCAAACAGAAACAGCTCCAATTGACCATTTGGCTACAAATGGAAAGAACTAACCAATCCAATACAGACTGGACTGATTTTGAAATGCCCTAAAATAAACACACTTCTTTGTCATATTTGTAAGTTGTAACAGTAATTGTTAGGGTAACTATACCCTTTCAGATTGTTTACATTAAAAAAAATGAAACTAAATTCACGACCTTGGAGTCCAGGACTAAAGTTGTCATCTTATTCTTTTTTAAAGCCATATATCCTTTCTTAATGTTTAATTTTGGTGTATTTTTTTGTATTTAAATTTCATATCTATTTTCTTTTATCAAGTATGCAACCCAACTGATTTAACTCATCAGTCTGACCAGTGACTGGGATTATTATGCAAACCAGCATGAAGCATGTCACTACCAAGCAAATCCTGGATATCAATCAAGGAATTTCTTCCACTGGTCACCTTAAGAGTTGTCAAGAAAAAAACAACTTGCTCCTTATAGTCCTTAAATTCAGGTTACAAGACGAATTTCTTTCATCTATGACAAAATTTATAAATGTGACAATTCTATCCCATCATTAATAAAGCCTACGACATGAAAACATACACAAAACAATGGTTTCCTAAAAGCTTTCTTTAACAAACTAACCAGTTTGGATTTTATAAATTAAACATGAAACACATGCAGCCAATTAACTTTATAAGCAATGGTTAAATCTTCCTACATGAAAACAGAACAAGTTGCCTCAAGTCATGCTTTGCATCAGAATTTTGCAGAGCACGAATCCAAAAAGAAAATGCAAGTACCTCTATAGCTACAATATCTAGCACCAAAAACTTTGTATTTAACAAGTGCAAATTTAAGACAATCCATGCCCATTGTTTGCAGATTGATAATTTATTAATATGTCTACATGTGCAAAACCTCAGGAGTTTTGTTTCTATATCTTCAAATTAAATTTCTCAATCTCTAATGTTTCTATACATGAAAAACAAGTTTTTAACTTTTTTCCCTCGAGATCTACAAATCCTTTTCATGTAGTGATTGAATTTTGGATGATGTATGCTTAAATTTCTGAATTTTAATTAGGTTAGACATTGATAACAACAAACACCAAAAACAAAAACTTAACCTTTAAAGTGATTGTTCATGGAATGAAAAGCTTAATATCTGCATAACAAGAAAAAGGCTAGTAAATATACGATTTTGAACATAAAGTTGGAATTTAAAAGCACGAGAAATTTCACATGTTAAAGAAGGCATTATAAAATAAAGAATAGTAATTAACCTTTTGTGTTGTTGAAATTAATACATAATCAACACTCCAAAATGGCCAGTGAACTTATGTTGCAAACAATACAACAAGCACAACTGACAGATCACTGCTTTTACATTGCTTCTTCTGTCATATGCTGAATTCTACTTACTAGGCACAAGCCGACTATAATATTCGGTAAAGTCTAAACGAAAGAGCAGAAACTTCAAATCGACATGTTGCTGAATGGGCAACTGAGAGATAAAATCATCAAGTGATGCAGAATACTCTTTTGCAATCTTGTCCAGGTCTTCACCCATTCTCCCAAGAAATTCTCCAGCAAGTTGCATCATGGCCTTCCTATCCCCAACAAACCATGGACCTGCCCCCATCATTTTTATCCTTGATTTGCTCCTCCCTCTGCGAAAGGTATCAAGAATAAACTGAATCAGAGAAAGAAAGCAACAACCATGAGCTATCATAGAACAAAAAAATCTGTAGTCACCTGACTTGCAACTCAAATATATGCTCGAACGACCTCTCTGCATGGCTCCGAAGCCGCAATATAAGATCAAATAGAACAAAGAGAATCCTAATAAGACCTTGAGATCGCTCTCCTAGAAGAGACTTCTCCACAATTGAGTTGAGATACTTCTCATGAGCTGCAAGCAGATCATCTAAATCTTTTGCAGCATTCATTTCTTCTGAGAACTGTGACCATGAAACCTCAAGGACCTCAAACATTATATAGTACTGAAAGTTTGTCACAAAATGGTTCATCTCATTCCACAATACTTGGCATCTTCGTAGAACAGAGACAAACTGTGTTTTAACTGCCACACCTTCTTTGGTGAAAATACAAGAAATTATAGAATTTGGTTTCATCATCTTCCATACCCCGATCAATGCATGTTCAACACGTTTTAGCTTCCACAAAAAATTGAAAATCTTGAGGTATTTCTTCATGACAGATGCTGTAAAAACTGTGTCCAGAGGCACCCTTGCATCATACTCCAATGAGAACACATCCCATCCTCTGTCACCATCACCATGATCCATCATCTTTACTTTTAAACGATCTAGAATATCACGATCATCATACTGGGAGTTGGATGCACGGATTGCAGTCTCTAGCAACCCTGCCAACTGGAATGAGCTGATTGTGTTGGCAGGCTCTGATAGCTCTGGGCCCACAACATCCATCAAGTACTGCACAAAGTCACCCTGGCCAAGAAGCAAGTATCGTTTGATTGCCAAGCAATGGTCCTTGAACCGATACCGCCTGTGAATCACATCCATCAAATGACGATCAATCCTCTTAGCTGCCTCTATAACAAGTCCTTCCAGAGCATGTGTCTCCCCATACACAATCCCACCCCTCCTTGTAGTGGTCCCGACATCAGCTGCTGCTTTGGCGGCAGCATCAGCCCAACCATTGTCCTCACAGCAAACTCTGAGGAAATTGATGGACTTTCCTGTCCTCAAGATCCTTTGTGCCAAAGCAGGAGAAATGAAAGAAGGCAGCATTGCAGACTGGATTTGATAGCCTTCTTGCCATAACGACTCAGCCTTTACAGTTTGGCTTTGTATGAAGAACTCAGCAAAAGTATCCTCCAATTCCCCTTCCGAGACCCAACTCCGGACCATCTCAAACAAAGGCGAGCAGACCCTTCGGAGAAGCCGGCCCATGAACTCCTGTACCAATGGATCCCCATGCTGTGCCCGCCCATGTATTGCTCCAGCCATTGCTCCACCTCTCAGACCTCGACACCCATCCACCAGAACTGCCATCAATCGCATTTTAACCGTCGGTTCGGCAAGCCAGACCGCAAGCCGTCTCAAAGTAAGGTAATTCCCAGGCACTCCAGAAATGGAGCCTGGAGTGGGAATTGGATTCGAGGAATGGGATTCAAGCACTGCCAAAAGCTTGTAATAGTCGGAAAGCTCATCCTGGAGAGCAGAGCAGAAGGCCTGTCCAACTGTACCAACCTCCTCAGCCGGGAAGCAGCTCATGCTCTCAGTGATGTAACACCTTACCTTTTGGAAAAGCCATCCTAGTTCACAAAGCTTACGAACCATCGTCCTCATGGATCTTGGCAACTTCAACGACTCCGGAAGATCATAGCAGTCTGATGCTTTGTCGAACCTCACATACCGCCCGTTGATTCCCTGGCAAACAAAGAGGATATCCCTCACGAGGGCCGATTCCGAAACCTCTGTCTCGTCCATGACCAGATCCGCATACTTTTGAAGTGCGATCTCACGAATGTTCTCTGGATCCTTGGAGACGAGGAGAACGCCGCCGGATGGGGGTAGAATTTTCTTGGCCGCCAAAGGCAGTTGGTGGCTGGGCTGAGGGTCGAGGGGAATAGCGGGCAGGCCGGCAGTCCCCGTAGAATCGAGGAGGGGCTCGCGTCGGCGGGCATCGGAGAGAGACTTGAGGAGGTAGAGGAGGGCCCAACGGTTGCGGATGGCACCGGGGCCGGAGGAACGGGCGGAGAGCTCGGTGTGAAGGTCGGCGAAGGCGAGGGCATCGGAGGATCGGCCGGAAGCCGCGAGATGGCGCTTGATGGACTCGGCTATGGCGAGTTCATCAGGGGCGAGGGAGGGAGCCATGCGGCTGGAGAGGAGCCGATGGGCGAAGCCGATAGCGCGGGGGACCTCTTCGGCGGCGGAGGAGGGGGAGTCGACGGGAGATACGAGGCGGAGAACGAGCTCCTTGACGAGATCGCGGGTTTTAGGGTCGTCCATGGCCACCGGCTGAGGGATCTCCGGCACTTAGGGTTATATCTCACCTTTCTTTTCTCGTATGAAAGGGTATTATTAATTATTCGTTTGGGCGCGGATAGAGGGAATCATTTTGAAAAGGGTTACGGAGTTAACGGTGGCGCGCAGGGACGGAGTTAAGAGCAAAGACCATATACTTCTTCGTCAACCCACATAGTCACATGAAGGACCTGAAGCGGGGACCACTTTTACCTCTCGGGATGACAGAGGGGTAAAGTTGTAGGTGGATACCAAGAGTGTTTCTATAGAAATGATTTCCTTTGTTTATTTTTTGTCGAGCTACACGTTACTAACGGAAGTTGTATGTGAGTATAAATCCATCTTAAATATAAGTTAATCCATCATACTTAAGATGGATTAATCCATCTTAATGGACTCGCATACTTATTCTTCTATTTATTTTTATGATTAAGAAATATCTCAAATTAAAATTAAATATAAATTAAATAAATATGGTCACACGAAAGAAACCCCACCGGTCGCAATGTCCTGTTTCTTTTACTGAGGTCTCGCGATTCCACCGAGCGCGAGTCGGTAGAGGCGGCCGCAAGAGATGAAACCCTTCTGTGGTTTCTTGAGCCCGGCGGGGAGGAAGGAAGGCGGTCGAGGAAACGAAACCGACGGCGGATGTAGCGGCGGAGGCGGCACCGGCACTGGCACCGTCGCCACCAGACGAAGCCAGATGGAGAAGCCCCCTTTCAGAATCGCGAAGGACGATTCCAAGCCGCTCCTCCGCGACCCCGTGAGTTTGATTATCAGATAGTTCGTCTGTTTCCTTTTTTTCAATGGATTGGTTCCTTCTAATGCTTGCTTTTGGCCTATGGCAGATACTGAGATCGGACCCCATCGAGACCGAGCAAGCCGTGCTTCGGCTGCCTCCTTTCCCGCGGGGCAACATATGATTCATCCAATGGGTAATTTTCGCCTTTCTTGTATCGTGTAATTTGGATTGCTCTTTCTACTGTCCCATAATAAAGAGAGGGGTTTCAAATTTACAATTTAATTTTGCTCCTTTTAAGCTTTAATGGGTTCCGTTCGAGGCTTTTTTGTGGCCAAATATTTTGGTTGGTAGAAACCGTATAGTCCCCTCCTAGATCTTATTTTTAATAGGTCCTGAGAAAAATATGAGATGTTTGTAATTTTGAGGTATGAAGTCTCCTATGTGCCAGTTCTCCTAACTTGGTGAAAGATTTAAGAATGAGTTTCTACCTTTTTGTGAATACAAACACCGAGAACATAAATTCTTTCATAGTGTGTGTTTAGAAAAAAATTAGTTCACTTATTTGATTCATCACTCGTTGCTAGTTTTTTTTTCTCTTCCCCTTTCTCATGTAGAATTGCCTTGAAGAAGCCACATATTGAGCATTTTTCTGATGGAATTGGTACACGACAGTGATTGAACTTATAATTTAATAATAAAAGAAAAGAATGAAACGCAAAGGGTGAAATTAAAGAAGGAAAAGAAGAAAAACAAAATTTAGAAATAAGGATTTGAAATGGGACACAAGGAAACCAAAAGAAAAATAGTGTAAGAAAAGATGTAAAACTTTCACTTGCTCAATTACTGAGCAAGTTGATTCTACAAACACATTATCTATATGTACATGATGCCTTGGAATTCGTTTAATGAAATCTGTCTATAAATCATGCAAACAAACATGTTCCTGTGATACTATTGTCAAACAAATTTGATCTGCAACAGATAATCAATTTTGAGCATATATAAGACGATATTGTTGCTTGTGAAAAGAATGTATATCTACATTATGATTGACTGATAATGCTGTTTGATAGATGGAGAGAGATAAATGTTAGATATCTCATGCATGATAAACACCAACAAAATAGTTATGCTAATTCATGCATGATTTTGTTATCTTCATATCAATTTCGAAAAGTTGATGATGCATGTCCGGTGTCCACTATATGAAAGGTAGAAATTCTTGCAAAAATCCACCAACCTTGTCAAACGATATATGTATGCCAAGGACTCATGTGCTAGTATATATAGTACAATTGCATGTCCAAGACCCAAACATAATGATAGAATCTATTTTATAATCTATTAACAAGATTAATGTTGTCATTAGTTGTCACTAGGGTGGAATCTAGGCCTGGTCCAGGATGCATATCATATGCCCATGACTTGACACAATCGAACCACATACTGAACTCTGTGGTTAGAACTTTAGTTGTAGTCATGTTAAGATGGGTTTAGTTGTAATGAAAAACAAGTGGTTAACCAATCTGATGATACACAATAGAAAAACTCTAAACTCTCTATCAAATAGAAGAGAGTAATTTGTCTAGCAAGGACCACTGTTTAACCCAGACTGGTATGAATTGGGGACCATTGTTTCACTTGGATTAGTACGAAATAGGCGGTACATACCAGTCGGGGCACGAACCAGCATGCAGACCACCCCCCATTTTAAGCAGTCCTCTCCAACCCATTAAAACGAGTTCTATCCTAACCTTTAAATAGGATGCAAGCACATCTTGCCTTCCTACCATTTAAACAAAACGCAAGCACGTCTCGTCTCATGTTGTTGCTTGTGCATCGCTGATGGGTACGTTTCCTCCTCCTCTTCTCCTCTTCCTCCTTTTCCTCCACCTCTGCTCCTTCTTCCTCTTCCTCCTCTTCCTTCCTCCTTCCTCCTTCCTCCCTCCTCCTTCCTTCCTCCACTGCCCCTTCCACTTCTTTTTCTTCCTCTTTGAAACATTGATATGTACTGGTGTATCATGTATCAATACACTGGCATTGGTTGATATGTACCAGTCCAACTAGTTTTTTAAATCAAATAAAAATATTTATTTCATGGGCAAGCTTTCGAGATGATACAAACAAATTTAGATGCATTTATCAAAACAATACAGAAAGTGAAGGCTAACAAAACTGTTGATCATTACAATTTAGAATGTGAACCTTGAACAAAAATGAATTCCATTATCAAGAATTAACCATCGAGTCAATCTAGCCAGACCAATAAAAAGTGAAAGGAATAAAAACAATGAAGAGAATTTATGCAAGTTTACACCTTTGCCACCTATGACAATTATGTTGAAGATTCTTTGATGTTGCTTTTGATTTTATTTTGCCAATTGCTGGGTGTGACTTGTGAGAAAAAAAGAAAGTAGAGGTCTTAAATGGTAATAAGACAATTTTGCTATTTAAATGGTAATTGAACAAAATTTTTGGCCTTCTGAAATGGATGAAACTCCACACTGAAGGCCAACAGTGAATCAGTTCGGAGCTTGTGAGATGCCGTGTGTAGTTATATTTGGGTAAGATGTTAGATCGTCTGAACAATAGTGGTTAGTTACCCGCTGGATATAATATAATGAAACCTTGTTGAGAAAAAAATTTTATGTAGTAGAATATACTTGGTAAGACCCAAATTGAAATGCAAGTGATACTCATATTAGTATAAAGAATCATCAGAGTACTTTCTACTTTGGGTGCTTGATTTGGGATTTTATCATCTGATACTTTTAGAATAACTTTATTGTAGCTCAAGTTTCATCAGATGATTGATATTTCTTCAACATCTTAATGTAGGTGGTTTAATACTTCAAGTATGCTGGAGGAGCTAAGAAAGAAGTGAAAACCATTAATTGTTTTAAGAATCTTTTTCAGTCTTGTCCTACAACAATAATGTGATATTCTGTAGATCATGTTTGCTAGTAGAATCAAGTATCCTCTATAAAAAATTTTGGATTATTCATCGTGCATGTTGATCCTGGTTTGTCCAAGTTACTATATCATATCACGCCTTATTAGGGCAGGTTAAGCATATATATATATATATATATATATATATATATATATATATATATATATATACACACACACACACACACACACACACACT